ATAAATCCCCAAAATAAGTAGCTCTGTAGGTCTTCGACGTTGGATTCTGACCACATTAGTTTTAATGGACTCACCTAGCTGAAAGAGCTCGATCATGCATCTGCACCAGATCACGTGTAGGAACGCCGTGCTCAACATCTCCTGCAATCACTAGCCAGATTAGATCAATCGATCCACCATATATTGATAGACTATCAAATATATCTTCAAACTACATCGCGTCTGTCTTTTTGTTTCACTTGGTTGTTGCGATTCATATTAGGTGTTACTGGTTAAAACGTTATCGAATTCCGAATACCTGTGATATCTTCACGGGCTTAATATGAGTTCAAAACAATATACATCCAGTTGTGCTCATCTAGTTGTTAGCGAATCAAGTTGATTACTTCGAATTATAGTAAGTTTCCGTATTTTTATTCAAGCAGTTGAAATGCATTTTTTCTGGTTTCAAGGATTACTGTGCCCCACACAATTACAGCAGCTTAATTTGAATAATTCTAAATATTTGGTCAGACCTATCAAAATTAAAGTATGCTTCTTTGAAGGACTACAATACAATTATCACGATCACTATAATATCCGTTACAAACATTCCGTTCTAAGCCACTTCTGCCTCCAAATCCTTAATTCTCCTTTGAAATATGATAATACGGCATACGATGGATCTTCATTGCGTGATAGAATTGATAGGTGAAAGTAGCGTGGAGTGAAAACCCTCAACGACCTTGTGGTTCGGAGGATACACTATGGTATTCAGTAGAAAATACCGAGTAGTTTAAAATATCCCTCAAAACATAACGATCGGCTTCAAGTTCTTAACACAAACTAAAGCCCCACTAATATTTCTGCGCTTCTAAGCTCAGGTAAAGAAGATTTGACCATACGATCGACAACATCTTGGAGAAAGAAAGCATATTACGAAAGCGCTAATCGGAGCAAAGCAATGGGACCATTTGGACTCTAGCCTGGGAGTTAGATCGTTTCGTGTAAAATAGTCGTGATACTGCTTACTTGAGCATATAAACATGTGCCCTTGATGCTAATGTCAACTGCATCAGTGTCAAAAACCTCGGCAGTAATATCTTCTACATTGAAAGTATCTTCGCAGCCATTGAAACCGTTAAAGTTCAACGCTAGCTTTGATGCTGATTGCATCCCATCAATTCTCCATAACATAGCAGAGTCAGCCACGCTAGCATTATTACTCGAAATATTAACCCCATCCTTAGAAGCAGGAACATGCCCTGAATGTGAGAAATCAATGTGTGTTGCCAGGACCAGATAGCCTTTTTTAGAACTGCAGACCAATAGAACTCACACAAACCATTCTACGCATAATAAAGACAGTGATGAAAGATCAGGTGTCTCATCACCTATTTCGCGATAACCTAATCACTCTACTTATAACAAGGCTTCATCAGAATAATATCTTGTTTAATGGATTTTTGTTCTTCCGAGGTTATTCACATCCTTGATCAAAAGCGAGTTCTGGTCTTACCGTACGTAGGTACCATGAAAGCCCTTCACAAAGTACCTCATAACCTTAGCCAACAAAATTCAGTCCATCAAAATTGCTAATTCCTAATGGGACTGACCAAATCAGTTTTCTACGAATAGATACCAAATGACAATATCTAACTTTATGTATCTGGGTGAATAACCAATCGTTTTGTACATGATATTTCTTTCATGTGTAGTATATGCACGTATTGCGTCTTGTGAACTTGTAGTGGGATTGGGCCATAACCACATAATCCTCAAAGATGAACATGAGACAACTGGGAAAATAGATATTCAATGTTTAGCGTGGAGAAAACCTAGAGATGGAGAAGGCGGGCACAAGGAATTAAATTGATTGGAATTGATCGGATGGCATGGTTCGGTCTTGCAGGCGTGGTCCCTATTGAATGTTACCTTATATCTTTTATCTATACTGAATATATTGTCCTATCTCAAGCCTAATCTTGTTCTCCATCATATATTGGTGATTGTTACGATGCAATGAATTGTTATAGACGATGATGTGACTTCCACGAAAGACCTTATAGATTAGGCAGTTATATCATGACAAATCTACAATTTTAGGATCAGATCTATCATTAGAGTAGTATTAATATCGAATTAGACCATAATACTACAAACTCTCTGACAAATGTCATGTTACAAGTCACAAATACGAATTTTAATTCCAACTTGGTCTATTATTCGCATTACAGTTTAGTGTATCAAGCTTGGCCAATTGCACGCCCGACTACAATTATTGATTTTGAGCCGGTAGCTAAGTTCCTAAAGGTCTGCTTTTCACTAGTTCTTTTCGATGTCCTGTCTTTAAGTCTCGCATTGGCGACCAAACTCTACCACATTTATATACCGGACAGCAATACAACACAATATGGAAAATAACAATTATGCATGAACAAGCCAAAAGTGGCTGTAAGTTATAAAGATTGTGAGAAATAGATTGACAACAGCAAGTTTTTCAATTAATAATAATTCAGAAAACCAGCCCCAAATTTTAGAATATCTGTTACGTTTTAACAGTAAATGCTTTAGCACAAGTACGACACACCTCTAACCAAATGACTTGAAAGTCACCTATCATCCTGACATTGTTTCTATAGTTGGTTCTACATCATAAACCACATGCGAACCTAATAAAGTAGTTGATCAGTGTTAATATTAGAGTGTAGAAATAAACACTGATCATTGCTAATGACTACGCCTTGAAAAGCTTGTTGAAATTCAACCCTCGATGACCAAAAGTCCTGAACAAACCCGAATTCGCAAATGAATTTGGAGTGCATTGCTAGGATAGTCTCAATTTCTCTAGATATACCACTGTAAAAGTACATCAATCATTAAAATTGCAACGTCCCATTTTCTGTAACATTGTTTTATAAGAATTTAGAACCCTTCTTTGGGAGATATCAAAAAACACTGCTCGTCTTTATTTCATAACTTATGCCCATCAGAATTACTGAGTGTGCTAGAAATGAAACAAAATTCCACCAGCTGAATACTTAGAACTGATTCATCAAATGAGTGTCCTTCACAGTGTCATATCCTGTTACTTGGACGCCTCTGCATAAGAGGCCTTAGGTTAATTAAGATTCTTTAATCCAAACAAGTTAATTCTTCACTTACTATAGCCTTGCAGCGGTAAGCAAATGTCAGAAATCAAAACTTTTCTGAATCTTTAGCATTGACTTTTGGTTCTCCCGAATACATCTTAGCTGAAGGCGCTTGGTCAAGCATCTGCGCCAGCTCACGTTTGGGTACAATGTACTTCGTATTTCTCCCAACAACAAACCGTCTTAGATCACACGATTCTCAACATTACTATTATCTTCCGAAATTTTCCTCGACTCTTTCATTTCTGATTTCCGTTTCCACTGTCTTTGGAGTCGTCGATTAAGAATTCGTTTTGAACATCAGCGTTGTCGAAGACATCTTGAATGATGAGCTTCGACATGCTTTGGTACAGCACACGATGAACTGTGGATCTGTTCCATATTGAAAAAGATCACATATATTTTACATATTGTGGTATTACTTTTGTGTTTTCGGACTCTTCTCTAATATTAATAAATTTTATTTCTGTTGTATCCAGTCATTCCGACGGAAGGAGAATACAACTCCCATACCACGCCGTACAACTCATGACAATATGCCCTGACACTATCGAAGCTTAGTTCTGCCATAAAGAGGCTGACTTCCGCGAACACAGAGTGATCAATTCACTCGCATAGTACTTCACAGTCTCCTCACCCTATATAAGTGAATCGTATTAAAATTCAAAATAATCCTGTAGATGAAATAAATGCATCTGTCGACTGGATTCAAAAATCCAAGCATCATAGTTTGTTCTGTGAAGCAAAACCCTGAGTCAACTGTAAACGAAGTTATGATCAGAGATGCGAAGCAGAAAATGCTTAGGTACTACCTCAGTCCAGTTGAAACGTGACTCGACATTTGTAAGCATGATAGACACAAACATGAATACAGATTGAATGACAATGTAACTCAAAAGGTTAGAACGATTCATTTTTCCAAAAGTAGGGACAAACATTGCGGGCTTATAACGGCGTTGGCCGCTAAATGATCTCTGTTTTACCTTTTTCTGTAAAGAAACTTGGCGCGGGAATTATCCCCTCTGATATACTAGATATCTGACCTCTGAAATACCCCAGACATTTTTCACTGTTTACTCAGCACCTCATCAGAAATCTTTTTTCATCCTTTCCATTGATACCGATTATGCGATAAGCCTTCTAAAATCGGCCCACAGAAGAAAAGTAAAAACGAAATGTGAACAAAGTCATACACCAATAACATTGAAGCGCATTTTCGGCCAGTTCGATGAAAGTGTTCCACATAATCTTCAACAGTTTCATTCATCCCCATTTAGAGTACGGAAACATAGTATTTCCTCCCTCATTTCAAAAGGATAATGACACTCTGGAGCGTATCCAACGGCGAGTCACGAATTCAGTACGGGGACTCAAATTCAAACTTTATGAAGGGCACCTCTAATCGCTAAAATCAAACGCCGGAATTTTCTGCCGTCTGAGCTAGCTCAGGCGACTTCCGAGGAGTCCTTTAAGAGGAGAATTAACATATTCTTAAGGACTAAGGATAGTATCTTATTAAGATTTACCAGTTTCTTTTTTCTTTTATCGTTAGTATGCTTAGGTTCCTGTCTGGAGGTATTGGCGATCCACTGCTATTAGGCACGGAAACCCGTTAAGCGAAAGCTTCTATACCGTCCACAACCATTTGAAACATTTGGACCTAATCTATCGCTCTGAAACCCAGTGAACTATTAACTTGTAAGCTGCAAAAGTGTATAGAGAGTTAGGATCATAATATATGTTGTCATTATTGATTTGCTTCATTCTAGTAGCCAAGGTATGGGTGAAGGTATCATTTGACGGTGGAATATGAAATGTATATGCACAAAAATACGCGCCGCTGGTTTCAAGTCTTTGCGTTATGTTTCAATGATCTCTAAAGAGGATCAAGAAGGTCTTTTAGAGGAATCTCTATGCACTGTTAGACAGTATGCTTGTCAAATGGAACGCTGTCTGGTTAGTTATTCTTTTTTTTGAACTTCGTTGTAGGAAAAAAGATATTTGGTTGACGCCATACAACATGCTGCTAATATGCTTTTGGAGATGAAAAATTATTCTTTGTCACCAAAAGCGTACTATGAGTTGTGTAAGTAGCCAGCGATTTCATGAAATTCGGCACCTTAGATATTGTTGTTACAGACAAACTACGCACTCTGGAATCCTACCTTATCGAAGAACACAAAAGTGGACGCAAGGTTTCATATTTATATGAAACGGTTCAATATATTTCAAATATTCTTCCTCGATTGTACGTTAATTAACTTTTGAGCCATTAATTTTATATTCATATTTATGGTAATGGGGTCGTAAAACCCTAGTTATTATATTATGCCCATTCTTATGCGTCATATGTTTTACAAAAGCTTGTTCCCAGTTTCGTTTCATCTGCAACGTTTTCACTCGGTCGCCACAGAGGAAGCTCTGTTTACTTCGGTCACGCGCCTATTAATTCGCTTGCAGTTTTAATTTATTATCTTCAAGTCAAATGAATTAACTTCATGCGTACTTGATTACTAAGCCTGCTTTTTTATTTCAAAATAACTGAAAAAAATTCGCATTATACTAGCATGACAGTTTCAGACCTTAACTCTAGCACTATCTGCCTTCCGTACAGAACCTGACGGTAGTTTAAAAGGTTATGGTATTCAGTCTTTAGTACTTCATAAATATGCGGTTAGAACGCATGTTTTGCTAGTGTTATTATGATCTTCTTACTCTCTGGTAAACATATCCTAAGCTCCAAATTCTAAGTTGCAGACCACCACATACCTTAAATCTTTTTGTTCAAAGAGGGCTCTCTAGATTGGATCTTTAGAACTCAAATGATTTACTCAGTTTAGTCAGACATTTGACTCACACATGACAAACAAATAAATGCGAAACTTTTTAAAGCATTGTTTTATAAGCGGTGATAACATTTTTCTAGCCAACTTGAAACTATCATACACCTTTTTCGTTACTAAGTTTATGTCATTTTGGCTGAAAATATGCAAACTCCAGCCTAATTCATACTTTTTAAAATAGATGGGAATCGTATGTCGATAATAATTTAAAATGGTGCTTCTAATTTCTGTATTAAGTACGAAAGCGTACATAGAGCAGCAATAGTATTCGCTTTATTCAGTGCTCTGTATAATGTGATAAGGAATGAAGCACTCATATTGTTTGACATAATGGAGTTAAAAAATTTGAGTTAACTTGTCCACTTCATATTTGTACATGAGCCATATCCTGGATGTGAAGAGTAGTAGTACTACCCGGCTGCCTAAACCTAATTAGGTGGAGCGGGGCTCGAATCATAAACTTAGTGGTTGAACGCTTAAGCCATCGCTCCACTACATACATGCTAGTGTGGTATTTTGTTTCCCTTACACATATTCCTCTTTACTAGTATAGTGCATGGTCTTCCCAAGATATTTCTTTTTTCATCGCTAATCACCGTAACCATTTTTGCACATGTAAACTACAGTTTGGTAGATGACTTTGCCACAACTCATTCGATTTTATTTATTTATTTTAACATAAATATTGATACAAAGGGGCACCAAATACATGTGCGCCACACAATTACAATGAGAATGTGAAGAGATAGAGAATGTAAGGTGCGTATAAGAAAAAGGGGAACAATAACGAACAGAAATTAACGTGTGACAGTGGAATAATAATTATGGGAGAAGCAGTTCAGTTAGCAAAGATACAACCAGAAAAACTTTTTCTAGTTAACGAAGTTACGTCCACTTTTTTAATGAAGAAAGTAAAAGAAGGTTACAGCAGGATCGTCACTGGATTATATTCTGAGCCATATCTGATAACGTCTCTAGCCACCGTGTTGCACCATCTCTCGGACCCCAGCCAGGGAGTCGCGAAGGACCAACAAAAGCCAGGCCTTTGCAACTTTTTTTCATACCACGACACCATGTCATACAATGACACCCTCCTCGTTTTTTCAACCAGTCCCAGAGTCGGCAAATAATGCACGACGTGAAATTCTCCGGGATGACGTTCGTAGAACATGTCCAAGACACTGAAGTCGATGTTTCGAGATAGTGACACCAATTGGATTATCGTCTGTGCTCCCGAACACACGATGCCGAACCTCTGCATTACTAACATGGTGTTGCCACTGGATGTCAGCAATCCTTCGGAGACAAGGACGATCAAACACAGAGAGCCATCTAACATCCTCAACTCGGAGAGGCCAGGTTTCACAAACACAGAGCAAGACTGCTCTAACTGACGCGTTATAGATCCGACCTTTTACAGCCAGACAGACATCACGAAGGCGCCAAAGATGGCCCAGACTAGCATGAGTTGCTCTGGCTTCCACTATACGTGAATCGATCTCATCACTCACGCCACCACCAGCACTTATGCAGCTACCTGGATACACGAACTTCTCGACTACTTCTATATGCTCAATACCCAGAGTGAGTCCATGGTCAGGGTCCTGAAGAGGAATGGTGAGATTGGGCAACCCTACTTAACCCCACTGCTTGAGTGGAACAGTGGAGAGAGGTGGTTGTATGCCCTCACTCTGCCTAAGGTGTTTGTATATAGGGCTTTTAGGTTGTTAGTAAACTTCTCAGGCATACCCTTCAATAGTCAATTCCAGTGAACAGTCCTGTTTAACGAATCAAAGGCAGCTCTGATGTCAAGAAACATTACTATTGTTAGCCTGTGATAAGTATGACCGTGTTCTAACATTTGACAGAGGGTGGAAATATGGTTGATACATCGTCGACCCGAACGAAAACCAGCCTGCTCCTCGCGAGTCAATCTTTCCCGTATCTTGAATAACCTACGAAGTATGACAAGCCAATAGTTTGGACGCGATCGGAAGTAGACTTATCCCCCGATACAGTCCCATAGTAACCGGTGACTAACGACTAGTTCATACACCATTTATTCCTTCAGGATACTGGAGCCCCATGTTCACCATTGATTTGGAATGAGGGTTTTCCAACTCCCCTGTTTGAACTCTCTGTGTTCACCAACCCTGTTAAAGCACCGGATATTCGCTTTTCAACAATGATACCGCGAGGCAGTGAGTAGGACTTCTCTGTCAGTGGTTGTATTCACATGGCCATGTGAGAGCATTTGGAGAGGGAGAGTGAACTCTCCTGACCCTCAACCTTACCAGGGCATTTTGGTGCTTTATACTTATCATTAAAACTATTAGTAACAATGTTTAAAACCTTGATCGTTGTCAGTTCAGGCTTTTTTGTAAACTGGAATCAGTTTTTTTGAATTCGTGGTTCATATTAATAAACTTTGACTTAGGAGGATGTTTACCAATAGTATTTTGATTTCTTGGATCCGTAGAAATATTTAGTAGTTCTTGTCAAACACTTCTTCAGGTACTTACTTATTACTGTTGGAGTTTATCATATTAAATGTTCCGACCTGTCGCGACGTGAAATTCTTCGTGATCTGGTAGAAATGTGTTCTGGTGTGCAACATCCTACAAGAGGTCTTTTTTTGAGAAGTTATCTATTGCAATCACTACGAAGTGATCTTCTCCCGGATATTGAGGTACTGTTTAGTTGTATCTGTATTTTATAACCTCCCAGTTTGAATTAGATACTTATAAATACAATTATTATTGTGGTCTTTCAGAAATAGATCACCACTCACTTTTCAGATTTTTGTTCAAGTGCTTTCTAGAATCTATGCGGTGTCTTTTAGTAAAAAAAACAGATAAGAGACACGTTCTTTCACTTACAGGTATAGTGTGTTTATAAATATTTACTTACCCTTGTTACCCTTCGTAGAGGAGCACAGGCCGCCCACCATCGAACACTGTTCTGGGCAATCCTTTCCAGTTGTTCTCAGTTACTATTCACCCTTTTGGTGTTCGCTTCCAATAATCCGCTCAGTGTGTTTCTTGGTCTTCTTCTCTTCCACTTTCCTTCAAGATTCCGAGTTAGCTCTTGCTTCGTGATGCAGTTTGATGATTTCTGTAATATATATCCTATCCACTTCCAACGTCCTTTCCTAATTGCCTCTTGATCTGGAAGCTGGTTTGATCTCTCCCATAGTAGGCTGTTTCTGATGATATCCAGCCAACGGACATTGAGTTTTAGTGTGCTGTGTTATCGCCAGTTTGTATCAATTTAATCTGCTATCCTTCAACTTCGCTCGACGGAATTAATTTGTATTCAGACGTTAGCTACAACTGAATGCTGAACCCGAAATAAACTTGTTCATTAATAAATGATGTGAAAAACTCATAGTTCGCTTGTAACATAACTTTATTGTTTAGAATCGGCCGAAGGCCCCAGTTATCTGATTGAAGATTTATCAGAATGCTTGATCGTTTTTTTTCTTTTGAATTATGATATCAACTTGTCAGAAGTCAGTCTCCTTGATATATATTTTTGGTATCAGAAAAATTGTAAAGGGATTTTTATTTCTCTGTTATCAGTCGTCTAGATTCTTTTGAGGTCATATCAAACGTTTAAATTATCCTATCTGTTCATCAGAAAGCTCTGACTTAATATGGTAAAGAAATTCAAAAGTGACTTCCTGCATAGGTGTTATTCCTGCAATCAGTGTAAAATGTGACTAATTAAAAGTTGGAGACAAACCCGGAATTTCAGTCTCTAATGGTATTTCATAAAACCGTTATTTCTATTCGCTGGATTTGAGCTCGTTGATTTAACTGTTTTTTCTTGACGACCAGTTAGATGGACAATGTCTAGAAATCTCATTTTCATTAGCGCTTCAAATGATGTGTTATTTCGCTGTGAGAAGCCTAAATGTTTGATGACTTGTAAACATAAGCTTGAACTTTCGAAAATACGCAAATTAAGTTTCTTTCGGCAGTTCAAACAGACTGACAATAGAATTAAAAGAATTATTCGATATCATGTTTGAAGGCATTTATGTCCAACCCAGATTTCTTATGGTTATAGGGAACTTCACATTGTTCATTGAATCTAGGTTTCGCTGGGAACAATATGCACTGTGATTTCTTTACATCTAATTGACAGCTGAAAAATAAGGCAGTGCACAAGGCGTATTTTACTGTTTTTTTACTGCCTTATACAGATTACTTTGGTATTTCTTATTTTGTCTGTTATTTATTTATTATTATCGCTAATATTGTTGATATTCCTAACTCCTATTTCACTATATTTAGGACTCACCATCAACACATGCAGCTGTAAATGAAACGGAAGATGATAGCAGCAAAAATAGTGGTAAATTATCACCTGATGAGAATAAGCTAGATAATAACAACAATATTAATGATGATGGTGAACAAAAGATTAGTCAAAAGTCAATCCATGTTTACTCACAAGGGACAATTGCTGATAGTATAAACTTCCTATTATTCAATTTTTCGGAAATGAATAAACTTTGGGTACGAATGCAACATCAAGGACATACTAGAGACCGTGAAAAGCGAGAACAAGAACGTCGAGAATTACGTATACTTGTTGGTGCAAATTTGAATCGATTATCTCAACTAGAATCAATTGATGTTGAGCGATATAAAACAGTGAGAACTTTAGTGTGGCTTTTTTTATTCATGTTGATGTTCGCAAACATAGAACAAGAACGAAATCGGCCGTTACTCGTCTCATCGGCAAAATTGAAAATATGAAAGTCACCTTATATAAAAAACACCAGCAACATATCACAAGTCTATTCGGTTTGGGCGACCGGATAGTATCATTAGCCCTCACACTCAAAGTGTAGCTCATTCAAGTATCTAGTGAATGAGTTAATTGCGTATTTATGAAATATGGCACCATAGATTTGTATTTAGTGTTGTCTATCATTATTACTGTACAGTTGAAGGACACTTTTGAAAATTGTAGATATCATCAATAATAAATACAGCTAATAGAAAATCCTAAACGCATCGAGTTTACTTGTGTATGCTTATCAATGCACATTGCCATAGATTTCACTTTTAATCCTAACACCTTAACAACTAAATCAATCTTCACCAAACTTCATTGTATCGTTTCTCTATACGTACTTAGAAGGAAGTTTTCTAAACCCACCTCAGGTTCGTTAGTCTTAAGCTAACTATCGCCTTATGATTATTCTCAGCTCATATTCACGTAGCTTAGTGGTAACGTTTTTAATTAAGCTACCAAATGATTCAGGTTTGAATTTCGTCTATTGGATTAGTTCGTAATAAATACAGATAAACATGAAACCCTCACCCTGAAAGACTGAATTTTAATTGAGTAATAATTTCACCACACTAAGCTTTAATTATCAGTATATCGTCGATCTTTTGGATGGTCATCTTAATATATGACAATATGATTGAGGTTGGAATTACAGACGGTTGGATTTGTACTCACTCTTGAATCTGCCTGCTCGCTGAGAGTCCCGGGGTTGTATGTGAAAACTACTAGGGAATCTTGAACAATTAGGGCAAAACAGCTGTCTTGTTCTCCTGGGTTTTCATTTATTTCCCAGAGGATGTCAATCTGTGATGAAAAATACTTGAAAATTGATCTAATATTTGCAACCTACGCAACTTGGTGTTTACTTATTTGTCTTTTTTAGCAAGTCCTACCACCGATTTTGGAACAGATTATCGAATGCCGTGACGTTATCGCACAAGAATATCTCATGGATGTAGTCATACAGGTAAGTTTGTATTTGCAAGTCTGGTTAGCGTTTTTTAGCAAGTTATTTTTTACGGGATGGGGTCGTTAACCCCATGCCCAACCTTCCTCCTTTATCCGGGCTCGGGACCGGCAGTAGCTCCAGAGGGGCTATAGGCGGAGTTATTTGCAAGTCAGTAGACTTTATATTGTTTAATTATGTTTAATTGTTGAAATAAACGATTACACTTGATCTAAATTTTGTTTGAATCTTCCTATTAATGTTTAGGATTGCATATGTGCACCCAGCTCGGAATGCTTCAATATTACCATTAATCCACAGTCATTTTAAATAGAGATAAATAATGTCTAGCAGTGGGATCCAGGACACTTGTTTCAAACGACCAATACATGTAAATTAAAATTCACCCCATCATACAAGCTAGTGGCTATATGAACTCAGTTGCTACATGCATAACGCAATAGCGTTTGAAGCAGACGGTACTGGATTTGAGTTGCGGAGTAAACATCAACTCTGGAATGCAGGTACATTCAGCTAACGAGACTCTGGATGAGACAGGCGACGTGTTTTCCACTGTTAGCCACCATCCGTTTATGCTTAAAATAATTACACTGTTCCTAGAAGATCAAGCTTATGTTGATTCACATGAGGCTAACTTTTTGTTAAAATAGTTACTTTGTTCAGAATGTATGCCTCAATATGTCCATTTTGTTGAGTAGGATCATTCGAGGATATAGATTATAAATAACTGGAGCAATTGCTTATATTACTAAAGAAGACAACTTATTAGTGACTTCTTAATATGTTTAATCGTATTTCTCTTCTAGAACCGGGGGAAATTCAAATTAGTTCCGTCGTGCTATTTCTATTTTTAACCATTTGAAAATCACAAGATTTTCCAATATTTCACTTTGGTAATTCAAATATCCTTTTGTAGAAGAAGGGGACTTACTTAAAACACTAACGTTAAATAAAATTTTTTTAGTAAACATGTAATCCTAAACGTACTTCAACATGAAAGGTTTTTAATCGTATGTCGATAACTGATTCTGTTAACAGATTGATAGGCAAACCTATACAGGAATCTAGATAATTTATGAATATGTTTACCTCTGAATTAATAAACTCAGTTCATTTAAGGTTATGTATTACTCTTTGTTAAATAATACTGTAAAAAAAACTAAGATCTATAGCTGTCTACTTGTTTGTCTTAACTATTAATCATTATATACTATTCAATATGACGCCGATTCACTTAATTATAATAGTCATCATTTAAGCCTAGTCAATACAACTCAATTAGCGATTTTTTATTTATTTATTTGAACACATAAATATTGGTACAGGGGGGCACCAAATATATATGCGCCACACAAAACAGTGATAATTAGAAGAGAAGGAGAAAAGAGAAGAAAAAAAAAATAATGAACGTGGGGAATTATTAAAAAAAAAAGAAGAGAGAGAGAGAGAGAACAATGGTGGGGGAAACGGAAAGGTACAATCAGAACAGATCTTTCAGTTAAGGAAGAATACGACCACCTTTTTATGAAGAAAGTAAAAGAAGGTTACAGCAGGATCGCCACTGGCTTCTATTCTGAGCCATATCTGATAACGTCTCTAGCCACTGCGTTACACCATCTCTCGGACCCCAACCAGGGAGTCGTGAAGGACCAACATAAGCTAGCCCTTTGCAGCTTTCTTTCATACTACGACACCATGTCATATACTGACCACCTCTCCGCTTTTTCCAACCAGTCCCAGAGTCGGCAAATAATGCACGACGAGGAATTCTCTGGGACGACATTCGTAGAACATGTCCAAGCCACCGAAGTCGGTGTTTCAAGATGGTGACACCAATTTCATTATCGTCTCTGTGACCGAGCACTCGATGCCGAACCTCTGCATTACTGACATGGTGTTGCCACTGGATGCCAGCAATCCTTCGGAGGCAACGATGATCGAACACAGAGAGTCGTCTAACATCCTCAACTCGGAGAGGCCAGGTTTCACAAGCATAGAGCAAAACTGCTCTCACCGTCGCGTTGTAGATCCGACCTTTTACAGCCAGACTAACATCACGAAGGCGCCAAAGATGGCCCAGATTGGCATAAGCCGCTCTGGCTTTCACTATACGTGCATTGATCTCATCACTCACGCCACCACCAGCACTTATGCAGCTACCCAGATACACGAACTTCTCGACTACTTCTATCTGCTCACCATCCAGAGTGAGTACAGGATTAGAATCCTGCCAGTCTTGTAGAAGTACTTTGCACTTCGAGGGTGCAAAGCACATACCATACCTACGGACATTGATTGCCAACTGATTAAGTGCGGATTGCATAGCTTGGGCATTATCGCACAGTAAGACAATATCATCCGCATACTCAAGGTCAAGAAGTCTTTCTCCAGGCAACAGATCCACACCACCATTACTTACATCCGTCAGAGCTGTTTCCAGAATGTCATCGATGGCAAAGTTGAAGAGGAATGGTGAGATTGGGCAACCCTGCCTAACTCCACTGCTCAAATGGAATAATAGAGAACGGTGGTTGTATGCCCTCACTCTGCCTGAGGTGTTTGTGTATAGGGCTTTCAAGATGTTAATAAACTTCTCAGGCACACCCTTCTTCAATAGACAATCCCAGAGAACAGTTCTGTCCAACGAATCGAAAGCAGCCTTGATATCAAGAAACACTACGATTGTTGGCCTTTGATAAGTATGGCGGTGTTCTAACACTTGGCGGAGGGTGAAGATATGATCAATACATCCTCGACCAGAACGAAACCCAGCCTGCTCCTCGCGAGTCAATCCTTCTCGGGTTCTGAACAACCTACGAAGTATGACGGAAGCCAATAGCTTGGACGCAATCGGAAGTAGACTTATCCCCCGATAGTTGTTACAGGAACAACGTGAACCCTTTTTAAAGATAGGGACAACTATCGACTCATTCCATGACGTTGGTACACTCTCTAGTTCCCAGATCTTTGTAAACAACGTCGTCAGTCCTTTAGTCAGAAAGTCACCACCATCTTTAAAAAGAGCCGGGGGTAAGTCGTCTGGGCCTGGTGATTTGTAACGTTTCAAGAGTTGGAGCTCCTTGCGGACTTCCGCCTCATTTGGTGGATCAGTCGTCACCGGCCAAGGAGGGCAGGACAGTCTGACCGATGTTGCCGGAGCAGCAGGCCAGTTGAACTGCCCTTCAAAGAATTCTGCCCATCGTCCAAGACGTCGATGGATGTTAGTGATTGGCGTTCCGTCATCCTCGCAGATTGTTTCGCTCACACCAGACTTCTTGCTGCCGGTGGCTCGGATGAGTTGGAAGAGCTTCCGGTAATTACCAGATGCAGCTGCTGCTTCCAACTCACTGGCACGCTCCGACCACCAGGTTTCTCGGTCCTTACGCAAGCTTTGCCCGATTTCATTACGTAACAACCTTCGTCTGTAGTCGAACTCACGGTCACCCGGAGTAGACCGACGGGCTTCAATCAGTTGTAAGGAACCAGAAGAAACCCAGTGCTTGTAAGCGGGACGTTTCGCAATCCCACAGCTGACTTGACCCGCCATTTTCATGGCGTCATGCAATTGCAACCAATGCTCATCTAAACTTTTCGGTGGAATAGTGGCTAGCCTAGAAGCTAGCTCGGCTCGGTACTTACTAGCAACAGAAGTTGCAGCCAGCTTGCTAACATCAATCCTGTGGTGGCGGTCACTTCGTTGTCCACTGAAAAGTAAGGTAAGATTGGCGCAGACCAGAGCATGATCAGATTCCAGATAGGTACTCCAAAAGGAGCGGCAGTCTTGTACACAACCGCGCCAGCGGTAGCTGATCGCGATGTGATCAATCTGAGTCCAGGCTTGAGATGCAGAAGGGGGACGCCAGGTGGCACATCGGCGATGACTGTGCCGAAAGTTAGTGCTAGCCAGAAACAGGTTGTGGTCTGTGCATAGTTGCAGTAGACGTTCCCCGTTATCTGTCCTGCGACCAACGAGTCCCCATCGGCCACCTAAACGACTCTCTTCTGTGCCTAGACGCCCGACCTGAGCATTCAAGTCTCCAGCTAGTACTACAATATCTGTCGAACGCACTTTCTGGAGAAGAACAGATAACTGGTGGTAGAACTCATCCTTGATTGCATCCGGGCTGCAATCTGTCGGGGCATAGGCGGAGATGACGAAAAGACATCGTTTCTCACGCCGATTTCTTCTCACTCTGATGGTACTTTCTAATCTAACAGCACATAACCGACTGTTAATGGGGATCCAGTCGACTAGTGCTGCCTCAGCTCTTGCGCTTAGTGCGACACCAACGCCAGCAAGACCAGACGAAGATGCCACAGGGTCCCCGGATAAACGCACGTAAAACAAGCTTTTTGGAGCGACAGATGGAGAGCGAACTTGTAGTACTTCACCAGAGTCTTGAATACGGGTCTCGGATAGACAACACACATCAATATTAAGAATTTCCAAAGACATTGCCAGCCCTATCTGTTGTCCGACCTGCATAAGTGTGCGAACGTTAAAGGCAGCCAGTTTGAATGGTGCGCGTGGTTTCAGAAAGACTGCTTCAGTACTCTTATTCGATGGTAACATACAATTTTCAAACCAGGCAGTGACTCGAGAACGTTTAGATAAAGCTGAATTTTTACCATAGGCGAGCTGCTGTCTGAGTCGAAACGGATACAAAAAGTAGAAATAGGAGATAGTGAGTAAATGACGTAGTAAATAATAATAATAATAATAATAATAATAATAATAGTATCAGTCATTTCAATGTTAGTCAGAGAAGAACGAATATTTTCCGTAAGCGAATATTTCATCATGTTTTGGTGTGTGGGCTGAGATACTGCCCGGGTGCCCAAACCGAAGCAGGTGGTTTTCTTAGGGGGCCACACCCCGAGCCTTTGACCTAAAGGTCTAGTCCACAAGGCAGTGGAGCATCGTGAGGAGATGCAGTCCCATGGAAGCCGGTGACCAAAAGTTGGTTCATACGCCATTTGTTCCCGCAGGATACTGGAGCCCATGTGCACCATAGAATTGGGATCCGGTTATAGCGCCGGACGTTCGCTTTTCGTCCTCTCATTTTCGTAAACAACACCCCCGCCACGAGAAGGCAGTGAGTAGGACTTCCCTGGCAGAGGCTGTATACGCGTGGCCGTGTGAGAGTATTTCGAGAGGGAGGGCGAACCCTCCCCGCTCTCGGCCATACCAGGGCATTTGGGGGCTCAATTAGCGAACACTGAGTATAAACGAATATCACGTCCGGTACTTTTTACTGATCAATTAATTCATCTCTTTTAGTCGATCCCCGCCTGTAGCTCTTCTAGGGCTACTGCCGGTCCCAAAACCTTGTAAACGAGTAGGGTTGGGTGTGGGTTCAGCATCCCCATCCCGATCTCATCAATTTTTACCAATTATCTGATCTCTATCGGAAAGAGAATACCTTCTAGATTGATGATAAACATTTGCATACTAGTGACTAGTTTCAAAAGCTAGCTCTCCGAGTTCTAATGAGAAAGCTATGATTCGTGGAGTTCAACCATTTTCAGTGTGAGGCAATTACTCACAAATACCTTTGGAAACTTGTTATGCAAAATCACGAATTGTTTGTGTCTCATGCTAGAACTGTCAAGTGCTTCCTCATTTTCAATGGCTGTTTAACTAGGATCACTCTGTTATTTGAACGATACAATACTTTTCATCCATCATTAAACTTTCAGTCATTGTTTTCCATGTATCGGCGTCGTCCACAAATCAATTCAATAGAAATCTTTATTACTATTGTTATTAATGGCTTTATTTATTTGTTTAAACACAAACATTAGTACAAGAAGGCACCAAATAAATATGCCCCACATAAATCATTTGATTTGTCTGAGGGCTGGGATATTACCCGGGTGTCCAAACTGAAGCAGGTGGTTTGGGGGGGGGGGCACACCCGGAGCCTTTGACTTAAAGGTCTGATCCACAAGTCAGTGAACTTCCCTGTCAGTGGTTGTATGCATATGGCCATGTGAGAGCATTGGGAGAGGGAGAGTGGACTCTCGGGACCCTCGGCCTTACCAGGACATTTGGGGATATTTTTTTATAAAAGTTAATGGCTTTATTCACCATTATATTTTTGGTTGAATATATAACTCTCAGCACAAAGTATTTCAACAAGTTTGTTTTGCTAAACAGAAAAATCCCGATAACTGCATACATATATGCATAAATTAAGCAAATCAACTACCTGGAATTAAATGAAGTATTTTCAACAAGATTACAACATGCACAACGTTTAATTTGAAACGTTTTTTAGAATACAAGTTATTCACTAGGTCAGTTCGTCACATTAGTATAATTACTAGATAAGTTATTGTAGATCTTTTATATCTTTGCTTGCATGCATTGATTCTGATGTATAGGCGAGGTTCTGAGGAAACATTGAGTTCAGATGTCTAATCCCTCTCTTTATCAGACCATTTAGCTTTCAATGGAGTTTTTCTTGTACATCCTTTCTTTTACCCTCTCTGATCGTTTTAATTGTGGTGGTGTAAGTCGATCAAAACTTATAAAAACGGTTTCAGTGGGACAACAAACATTAAGGCAGAATTTAAGAACACAAGTGACAACATAAACGGTGTTTTCCAATAGGTCATCTTAAGTAATTCCCAGTTTGTCATACGAAACATGTTTTTCAGATTTGGGATATTTTCTGATTAATGCCTGTATTTGTTTTTCATTGTAAGAGTGTACTCTTTCCAAGCTAGCCATATAATTTAGGTAGAACACAAATAATACAATGATCAGAAGTAGACAATGGATCACGTTTACGAGTCGCGTATATTCTCGCATCACTAATGATGACTAAGTCTATGTTGGCATCCGGACGAGTAGGAAAATCTACTACACTTTGGTAATCCGCTGATGAAAGAAAGCTACAGTCGTATGAATTAAAATCACATATAATTGAAAGTGAACCACTGAAGATAGTAACAGAAAATTGAGTAAATTCATCAGTAAAAACAGATAGTGCAGATGGTGCGCAGTCTGAAGTCACATGTATGTTGGTAACATAAACATAATTGTACTTATTTAGATGTTTTGGAGGGTATCTTAAAGTTCAGCAGTCGATAAATTCGTTTGAGAACTTGAAATATGCAAAAGTAGATCGATACCACTCCATATTTACAGATGTAGCTACACCGCCGTCACACCTTTTCTTATTGCTTGATCGATCCTGATAATAAATATTGAAATCTTGTAGTGATACTAAATAATCATCTTGTAAATCACTCAACCAGAATTCTTGAATTGTGATATACATTTAGACCTAGTAGGAATTGAAGATAGTTCATCTTGCCAATCAGTGATCGGCAAGTAAAATTTGGCAGTTCAGAAATCAACATCTTATTAATGTTCATTCTTTTCAATGCATATTACCAGTCACTACTATGATTGTACTTTTTTGTACCTTGTAAAACGATTGTTCGTAAACCTTTCATATACGTGCCTAAATAGATTATGCAGTTAATAACAAACAAAAATTACTTGTTGAAATATCCAGATGGTAGGAACAGGTAGCCCAGATATTAAAGAACTCCTCCTGATGATATCGTAAGAATTTCTCAGTCTTCAATTTATTTGTTAAAAAATCTCCATATCTTATTAATGTCTTCAGTATTTTACTACCTACAAATATTTATTGTAAATTATCACCAAGAACTGCTTTATTTCCCAAGAATCGGACTAAGGTCACATGAAAGTATGAATTTTTGTAATTTGCCATATCGTAAACCTTAAACTGCAAAAACAAATTGAATGTATCTTTGCAAGATCTTATTCTTGGTAGTTAGTTCTCAAGTCAATGTCTAATTACTTTTTAAATCTCCACATCTTTCCCGTTGTATATATATATATATATATATATATATATATATATATATATATATATATATATATATATATATATATATATATATAATTCAGTATTCGATTATCCTCTCCTGTATCTTTAGTTTGTGGCTAAAACGTGGTATTATGTGGAATTGGGAGACTGAATTATCGGTCGTTATGTTGATTAAGTCGTTCAGCCAACGTCTGTAGTAGTTATGCAATATGTAACAATCATTAACCAAGACTTCATGGCAATGTTTCTAGTTTGCCAGCTATAAATTACTTGTTTATCAATTATATCTTTTTATCACTCATTTCCCCTACTCACTATGATGGTCATTGTATTTTTCTTAAATTTCAATCCATTCAAAAGGTTTTTCCTGATGAGTTTCATTTGGCTACCTTACCTCTGTTGTTGCGTACTTGTAATCATTTACAAGCTGGTGTGAAACTGAAGCCTATTGTTTGCAGTCTTATCGATCGGTAAGCATTATACTTTACTAAAATCAAAGTGAAAATTCATTTATTGTCATTTATATTATCGGTGACCTTGTTATTATCATAAGCTTTGCCTTTAAAACAACATTTTTCTTAGATTTCGAGTTCTAGTGGCTTTTTGTGTAATTTCTATGTGAAACGTCGTATTATTCGCTTCTGTATATCTTTTTGTCTTCTGTTCAACTTGTTTATGTTTTCGTCCGCACTAAGTCGAGTGAAGTGAATAAATCAAAAAGTATTAGACAAGAAAAAACGTGGTAAGTCGGACGATTCCAGACAGACCACACGCTGTCTCAAGGCCACATGGTAGGTGAGAAATACAAGAGTGTGTATGGTGTTGTAAATAATTTGCCTGAACAATTTTACGGCCTTAAATTTCCTTGGGTCAGTAAAAACGCACACATACACCTGTAAGTTATCTACAATTTGGTTCGATTTCGTTCTTAAAGTTTCCTACCTATTTCTTAGTCATACCCCCTTGCATAGCTGGTCACGTCAAGAATTGGACAGTGCATATTATGTTCATCTAGGAGGCATAATACAGCTTCCTATGAACTCTGTAAAATAATAAATACTTTGAAGTTTAATACATGGTCAGCTAATCTCAATTAATACTGATATAAAAGTTTTAATGACCATTTAAGCTTATTAGTATGTGATTCAATAACATAGTCTCTGAAACCCTGATTACCTAATTTGACTTCAGCCAGTCAAATGTAATTTAGAACCTGGCAAATATGTGAATGTGTTTTCAAGTTGCCATACTATATCATCACAGAGAAATGGAATTACCAAAGCAAATGTCAAAGTAACATAAGTAGTGACAGTAACAGTGTCGGTAAAAATGATTTGAGAAAGCGGGAATTTGTGGGCTTAAAAAAGATCATTTTGAAACTCATGATTTAAAAGAAGATGAAGATTTAATACTTCTGGGCTGTCGTGACCGGTTCTTGTTCCTGCCACCTGAAGTTCCCGATTGGTTATGATAATCGTACAGATCAGAACCAGCTAGTCTGAACCTACCAACCCAACTATCGACGGATTGATTTCGTGTCTTGATTTGGCTGTAGCTAACTTTATTTCAATCCACTTCTACATCAACAAACATTGTTTATCAAGATTGAAAATGGTTGGACAAACGTAACACATGTCCCAACTACCTAATTAACTGATTTATCATCCTTATCTATTACTCTGAGTCTAACTTCAACTTTCCTAACCCAATGATCGCAACATATGAAAGTCATGTTTTGAAGGCATTTTCAATCATATACTGGTAGCTTAATTTTATTACTTTTATAATATAGATATGGCTCAAATCATACATTAAATACTATACTGGGTTACACTAATTTATACTGTTCACTTATATTGATTTGTTATACATTTCACTTAATTAGTTTTGTTATTTTGTTTCTTACTTACTTACTATTAGTTTGTCTAAACATGTAGCTACTGAATTAGAAGCTGGACGTGAATTAAAAATTGAAGTATCATGCAATAACTATTCACCAATTAAAGCAAAAACTTCTTGTAATACTATCAACGGTAATGATGATAATAATAATAACAACAACAAAAACGGTAATCATTCTTCTCTACATAATGAAGAGGACATATCTTTATCAACAGCTTATGATGTTCAATTAAAAAACTCTGATCAAAATCAAGAGAACATAATAAAGAATGATATGAATACAACAATACCATCGACTTATACTACTTCTACTGATATTGATCAAACTTCTATGTCAACAAAAACAACCACTACAACGACTGATCTTTTTTCATTATTCTTTTATGAAGTAAATCAAATTATTCATGCACGTTTAACATTATGTGAATTAACATTGAATAATTTACAATTATCATCATCATCATCCAATAATAATAATAATAATAATAATAATATGAAAACTCGTCCTACAATACAAACTGTAGCAATAATGAATGGTTTACCATTAGAAGATATTCCAGCATTTTATTCAGTTTTAGTTTATTTAGCTATGATAATTCATCCAAATAATTGTTCTTCCTTAATTGATATTTGTTTAAATGCTACAGCAGATGCATTGAATCATGTTGGTCTAGTTCTGTAAGTTGAAGCAAAAAACACAGAAAGAAACAGTTGAATTTTTATTTTACCTCAATTGAAAGTAATCAATTATGTTTTTAGACTATTTAAGCTATTTGAACATATTAGATTTGAAAAGATATAATGATGATCATGAATAACTACTTATACATAGATCAGATTTTAACTTCTATCAGAATTCTATCAAGAAATTTGTTTTGATTTATGTATGAACTTCAATAGTTGAAATCATGAGTCAATTGAAGCTAGACCACCATGGAAAACCTGGAAGCACTTAATGTCCGTTTCGTCCTAGTATGAGACTCCTCATCAGTGCCTGGTGCGAGACTGATGGGTCTTGGGTTCGAGTCTCTCGGGGGCGGGATGGTGGATGCGCACTGCTGAGGAGTCCTATGCTAGGACGAAACGGCCGTCCAGTGCTTCCAGGTTTTCCATGGTGGTCTAGCTTCAATTGACTCATGATTTCAACTAATAAAATTACTAAAATCTCCACAAAACCCCCTTCTGATATTATGTATGAACTGTTTTCTTTTTAAGAATATATACTAATAGTAGAATAGATAGATTATAACTAGCAGTAGAATCCAGAATGCGTGTTTAGACGTGATTGGAACTCAACAGTTTGATGTATGTGCAACTAAGTGTTGATGTACACATTGGTACTCGGACCCTGTACCTTTTGCTTCAAATACCTAAAAATTATACTGATCCAGGTAACCACAAAAGCCAGTCAGAAATATTAACAACGGGATATTTCAAACTCTTGATATTAATAATATAAACATCTACTATTAAGTTGATCACTCACTATAATCGCATGATTTTATGTCATTACTATTATTATTAGCTTTATGAGACAAGGTTCATTTTCAGTTGTAATTGGTACTGTGACGACTGATTTGAAGCTGGGTGTGTCTAGTTCCATTAACAATAATTCACTGCTTGTTATTGTCATGGGGAAAGGGTTTAGTGTTTTGTTTTGTTGTCAATGAAACATCAATGAAATACTACTTACTTTCACCAGTAACAAATTTATACAAGTAACTGATCAAAAAATTTCATTTTTCATAATTTTTTTCAGTAAGATGATAATGATTATTTGATTCATTTCAAGGCCATATTGACAGCTACGCGGAACCATACATTTTAAAACATACTAAACATGATAAGGTCAAACAGTTAATACTTTATATCGAAGAGGTTTGATTAGAATCGTGCTTTACGTTTAATCATGTGTATACGTAATTACTTAATTTGAATGTTGTTCAGTAATAAAAATATGATTTTCTCAGTCATTCATCAATAGCTTTTATTTTTGTTAAATAGTTGAAGATAATCGATAGTCAATACCGTAGACTTAGATTTCGAAATGGTTGGTATTCACCAATAAAATTTGTTTCCGATCTTAAGTAATTTAATGTTCCTTGTAGAATTCAAGTTTGTGTATGTCGATCTCGGTTAGAGACGTTACCACCAAACTGTCAAGGCAGAGACTTTCCTCTTGTAGGATTGGAATGTTTACATGCTTGTATTATGAAGACTGCCAAAAAGAGATATTCAGTTCGTAGGTCTGATTTAAAATGAAGTATCCAAAATCCCTCTAAACCGCAACTCCATTATTTAACACAGTAGTGTTGATTTACATCCCTTCCTGTTGAATGTCTCTATGAGTTGTAAAATCTAATGTACTAGGGTGTATCCAAATGTTTTTCAACCAACATTGTCCTATGTTTTTCCACTTTTGAAAACTGTATTACTAATCATAGTATTAATTCAGAAAACATAATCTAAGTGAATATATTTATTTCTATTTACAGAATACCTTCAGGATCTTCATTATCACGTGATTTACTTCGCCTCCTGTATCTACCATTAGATGGTTCATTTCCCCAATCAATGAGTGGTGTTCATCGTATAAATGCTCCTATATCATCACTTAGCGATTTACGCACAGTGCTAGGAATGTCCGGATTTCGACGTTTAGTTTCATTATTAGATCCAAAAACTACCAAATGTCGATTAGCTTATGATCTATTGAATGCTGCTTTAGAACGTGATCAACGTCAGCGTCAAGTGTTACAATTTAATCAAAATAATTACAAACATGATATAAATAAAGATTCATCATCATCATCATGTGCTCATTTATCATCACGTTTGACTACTGAAGCAGATCTAGATAATTTATTTGAATTAATTGATGGATTATTAACAACTGATCCTAATGCATGTGAAGATCCAAATGAATTTATTGATGCACAAAGTTTAATAGCTGGTATGCTACATATTCTAGGACCAAGTCCTAAAAGTTTAGATCCAGATATATGTTTTAAATTGTTTACAAAAGCTCAATTACGTTTAGAACAAGCTGGACATGCAATTGTTCGTTTTAATTTTCCTGCACTTGTTTTTCAGGTAAAATGAGTTCATATTGATGTTTATGTAATTTTTTTTAAAAATTATTACTACTATTATTATCACTTGATGGGTGAAAATTAATTTTGTATACTTAGGTAATTGACAAGACTTTGAAATCATTAACAGTTTGTATTAAATGGAAAAATTTCAAGTGTCCTAATCGTTAGATATTAGGAAGTGATAATTGATAATGTTCCATAGCATAACTATTGGCTACATTGTACATAGTTTATATGTTATTTTGATATTTGTTTCAGTTCATTCTTTCTCATAATAAAAAAAAAAACAAGAATTCATTTTATTAGATTCACTAGTATAAAGTGATCAAGATTGACTATAGTCAAAAGACTATTTTGGCTTTTTGAGAATATTTCTAATAATAAATATGTGCTAATGATTAATGGTTTTACACTGGATAATTATTAGCTTAGATTATGGCTTATTCAAAATGAGAAATTCAATAGTAACAGTCGACTCTCAAAACAGACAAGGACAAAATTTACCCATACTGTATGACAACTTGAACTGATGTACGTACGTACGAAGTTCTACGTTGTTACTGACTGATTGACCCATATAGTATAATTGAACATTTATAAAGTGTACCAACCAATGAGTGAACAATTAGTTTACGATTAACTTATAAAATACAAGAAAGGAAATTACAATATATGGCTGGGACACGTGTTGCATATGCTTAACTACCGACTGCCTCAACGTGCGATATTTTATGGTGTACGAATAGGTTAGAAGAAAGCTAGGGGCGGTCAAACCAAAATATGGCACAAATCTATGAAGTCACTGATAAGTGGACGGAGCCATGTTGGTAGATGTAGACTACCTGGTTGGGATCCACAGGATGATAGCAACCGATGGTTAGAGACCTTGAATGATATGACTCAAAATCGTTTGCAATGGTGTAGGTGCATCCACTCTTTGTGTTCTCGCGAATTCAAATCTTCTGAATTTTTGCATGTCCCTTTTTTCTGTTTCCAAATTTACTCCACTATATTATACTTCTTGAATAACATCTCCAAACTCTAGTCTTTCTGATTACTGCTTATACTTTTATTACCTCTACCACAATGGGATTTGAATCGACAATTGTATCTGTGTGCTAATGTGGTATGGCAACTCGAACTGATGTACGTACGTATGAAGTTCTACGTTGTTAATCCGTTTCACTCCTTTTGAAGGGTTTTAGAATCTGAACAAACTGTAACCATTAAAACATGTTTATAATTTATTGCTTATTAGATTTACAGGCAGATTAACCTGTAAACAACATTAATAAATTTATTAATTGTGTAAGATCTATTTATTGTTTACATTTCAATAAACTATCCATTTATAAAAGCTGTTCTCTGATTGGCTAAGGACAGGCTGGAAATTGCAATTGTGTTTCTCAGTTCGTTCTCATAAAATGCTTTCTTGCGTTAAGTAAAAAAACCTTTCTATTAATAAGCAAAAATGGATAGTGGCTAGCAGTGGAATCCAGGACGCGCGTTTCGTCCTATTTGGGACTCGTCAGCCGGATGTACCATTAGGCCAATCGGCTGAGTATATGAATGCAGATTTAAAAATTAAAGCTTTTATTTACCTGTTCGGGTTATCCATAACATTTTCAACGTCCCATAAGTGTATTAGATACAGGACTTTAAAATATTTTTCCTTTCATTTAGGGCATAAGTACTTTATATCGAACTATTATTCCTAGTTTAGGAGTTTGGAATTATCTATAACTATCTGGTTATTAGTTTTATTCCTTTTCCATTACAGAATTCTTAAACCACCCTTTCACTCACACATTTCTGCTCACTTGATTCTCTTAAATTATGTGACCTCTTCAAGTTCTATTCAATTATTACGTAACCCATCTTATCAATTTTTTAATTCCATGACTCCTTTATTACCTCTATAACTATCACACAATTGACCTTATCTGTCCCTGAACTCCACTATTACACCACCTATCCGTAATGTTTCCTCGATCCTGATGGAGTTTTGTTCTCTGAGCTGGATGGTTTGGTCGTGGAGCTTTCATCGTTCTTCTGAACGACATCATCAGCACAAACTTCAGATAAAAGTGAAGTGTTCGAATTTCTCCATATGCGTTTCACAGCTTGTTCTGTGCACCTCGATCTTAACACCTAATAACCTCTGACCTGGCCCTGCATATATATATAGTTATCAGTGATAAAATTTGTCATTCCAATCCTCTACATCCACTTATGTCAATTGTTCCATACTATCTTTTATCTCAATGCAAAATTCTAATACATATTTGGTTGTAAGCAACTAACGAGAAACCATGAAAACATAATGAATTCATACTATTCTGCATTAATATTTGTTCTGGCTTTACATAACTATTTAGTATATAATACAGCATACTTCTCGACTTATTACTCATTTATTGAATAACCTCAATCTAGTTATCTATACAAAATATTTAGTTAAAAGTTGTATACAACTATAAGTTGTTACTTTTCAGTATCATAAATAACATAAGTAAACTTTACAAGACAATAACCAATGATTATTCATTATTTCTTTCTTCTGTAACCATAATCAAAAATTTCTATTTTAATAAAATGATTAGTTTTACTATTTCAATATATTTTGTTTGTTAGAGTCTTCAATTAATACAAACATATTATGAATTACGTAATCAAAATTCTAATTGGGAAGAAAGTGTTACAAATGTAGTGAGATTTTGTCATCGTTGTTGTACATGTTTAGTAGCAGCTGATGCATCTGAATCAGCTTTACGATTATTTTTATACTCAGCATTGGTGATTGATAAAATACAATTTACCAATCAAGAATCAATGATATATGAGTTTATTTCACAAGTGAGTATTGTTTCTTTTGTATATATGTACGTTGGTTTTTTTTCCCTTAGTTTCACTGTGATATGATTTTAATAAATGAAACTTGTTAAGCACGTAGGTACACAGGCAAGAAGCTGTATCTATCGATCAAAGTCTAATGATGATAATACAATCTAGTTCTTTAACTGTCAATAGACAATATTAGATTCGAATGGGTATGACTTTCAGGCTATATATATAATTTTTAGTAAGGGTTTGAACAAATTAGTAGATATCTAGACTCAGTAGCTCAGTAGAAATAGAGCGTACTGGTTTTGAGCTTCAGCGTGAGTATCAACAGTGGGATACAAGTACATTTAGCTTGATAATTTCATTTGACTCGGTTGATGTAGTGTGGGAATTTAAACACATTTATACTTATGCTAGGTGTCCACCTCTATTATGACTGACAGATTCTGTTGAATACATATTTAATACTTCGGCTAATCATCTTTCAAGGAGTAGGTCATGGGTTCAAACTAAATATTAATAACTGAAGTTTCAGAAACTGAACGATATCATTAATCTGTAATTATAAGCTTAACGGAATTCAATGTATATCTTATATTAATTACTTTGAAGGTAGTTTATATGATGGACTGGCTTCAGCTAAGAAAATAATTAAGGGACATTGTACATGTTTCATCTTAGTTTGTGACTCTTCAACAGTGTACACTCACAAACCGAAATCAGAATTTTCAGGCTTGCAAATAGGCATGTTTTACATTTGGACTATTGTACTGACATCTAATGACTGCCATTTCTGACTGCAGTCAATTGGCTGTATGACACCACCGGTAATGACTTGTCCAATGCCCAATCTAGTTAAACCGACTATTAATCACACGGTGTCTGAATAAGGCATTAGTGATTCTTCGAAGTTAATTTTGATTTAATTTATCACCATATAAATCCTATTAACTCATTGTAATTTATCCAGTTAGTTCCTGCGATAAACCTTTGTATGGCAAGGATAACAAATCTTATAAAATGAAGTGAATTCATTCCATTTCCTGCGCTTTTACTCTTCTATGTTAACATTGATTGATATAAGTCAGTAGATAAAATGTTTCAAATACTTATTTCTGTTATTATTAGAATTTGTGGAGATTGTAGTATTTTAATAGTTGAATTCACGAGTCAATCCAATCCAGACCACCATTTAAGACCTGAAAGCACTGAACGGCCGTTTCGTCCTAACATGGGACACCGTTGGATGCTGGCTCAGTGGTCTAGAGGGTAGGCGCTCTCGCGCGAGACTGATGGGTCCTGGGTTCGAATCTCACACTGGGCGGGATCGTGGATGCGCACTCCTGAGGAGTCCCATCTTCGGACGAAACAGTCATCTAATGCTTGAAGGTTTTCAATGATGGTTTAGCTTTTATTGACTCGTGAATTCAACTGTTAACATGTTTTTGTATATAATATCCATAAAAATAATATAGTTCACTAATAAATAATAAATTTACCTACTTTTCATATTTATACAAATGAATCATAATTCTCAAAGAATGCAAATCACTTACTTTTCAATCAAATTCAACTCGTTATCTAATTTATTTTCTATTGTTTTTCTATATTTAATTTTTAGGCGCTTACACTTTACGAAGAAGCTGTCTCAGATTCTCATGCACAAGTTGAAGCAATTGCATTAATTACTAGTACTTTATATCAAATTAATTGTTTCACTGGTGATAATCAATCTACATTACGTACTCAATGTACACGAGCTGCAGCACGTCTACTACGTAAACATGATCAATGTCGAGCAGTTTGTGCAAGTACACATTTATATTGGCCAACTAAACCATTAATTAGGAAAGGAATTAAGCCAAGTCTACTTATCCCTGTGACAGATAATAATCCTGAAATTTCAACTTATGCAAGATTATCTGAAACAGGAGAATTATCAGATGAACATTACAATAAAGTAATGGGATAGAATAACTAATTTTTTATTTGTATTTCATGTTTTACGTATTATTAATATTACCACAAACGTTCAATGATTGGTTTCAATCTCTAGCGTAGCCATTAGTTTGATATAGTAGTCGAGATTGGATATCGTAATGCGTGAATCGAGTTACATTGTTTGGAAAAAATGTCAATAAAAGTCCTACCATACAATCAGGTCGGTTAGAGAATGGTAAGACCAAAAGGAACAAATCAAGGAGCGGTGGTATATTCTCACTCCTAACTGCAATTAGATATTTTGCTTTAGATAATGTGTATCTACCTTCTCACAATGGGAAGATTTCGAAGAAAGTTGGTTCTAAGAAATCTTACCTAACCCCATTGGTTTCCGTAGCTGACAGCAAGACTTTTAATGTTCTGAGCTAGTGCACCAAGAAATACTATCAAAAAACCTGGTCATAACCAACATCGAGCAGTTGTCCGTTGGGCGCTGTAGTTACTTTATCAAATTACGGAGATCATAATTAATAACCCAGTTATAGTTTTATGTATCTCAAGAAGTATCTTTTTATGGTATGGGCGACTAATAAGTGATGGCCACTCATAAATCCTTTAACAGCACTCGAATAATTCCAATCGCATTTTATTTCTATCCAAATAATAACTATTTGCTATTTAGTTGTGCTGTAACATATATTGTGCTGCATCTTCAATTACTTTTGACTTGATTTGAGTACATTGGTACATATGATGCTTGACGATTCGTCTTGTCAGTTCTACAAGTGATATGTATATTTACAGAAATTACGCATGAAATTTCCAAAAACATAGCTGGTTGGTTGACTCTAAATGAATATTAACACTTTAATCTTGTATACAAGTTTCATAGATGTATCATACCGCATTATTATAAAATTTCAGACATGTAAAGCTTACTGTTCAATTTAATTTAGTGTTGTATTTGTTGTTTACAAGAAATTATTGGGATAGTAGATCCCCAGAAATCATCTGGTGAACTTCGTATTCTTATAATTTAACTGTGAAAAGTTAAATTTTTCATTACCGTCTCAATAGCTCCTTTTATTATCTTCAATCTGTGTTGCCCAGCTGGAAGGACCTTAAACATCATTGATTCGTTCTCCTGGGCTGGTTATGGAATTATTTATTTTCTTGGTTGAATCTTATCTTCTTGTAGTAAACAGGGCTCAGACGCAGAGTAATAGTTTAGCTTATCTTTTTGTTCAGTTTTTAACATTTGTTCCGTTCGATAGCCTAAGGTAATATATTAATCCCTCGAATATATCAGAAATGCATGCGAATATACATATAATAACACGATAAAGACAGATTATACGTCAAAGGGGAATGTTGGCGATAAATGGATCTATTTATCAATGAGGCAAATTGCATATATGCTTAATAATTACATTACTAATAGAAGTTATATCGTTTTCAGTTGATCATTAGTTTGACAATCGACATTATTTGACTTCAACCAACTTGCAAAAATACACAATTTCATAAAGTGTGGATCTTTATTTGTCAAATTTAAAAATCTTTCTCTATTTTTGAAAATGAAAACTAGTTGGTTAAAAGTCTACTCTGGACGGCCGTCCAGTGCTTCCAGGTTTTCCATGGTAGTCTAACTTCAATTGACTCATGATCTCAACTATTGAAATATTCATTTTTTTATTTAAATTATTATATCATATACGTAGTAACTGTATATTGGTTACCTTAATTTTTTTTCATTTTTTACATTTTTAGTTACGTGATCCAAAAGGTGTAATTTCTTGTTTAGATCGAGCGGCTCGATTTGCCAAAGAATGTATGGATACTGCTGTTCGTGCACAATTATTTATTGATATTCTTAATCTATCTGTCAATCTTCGTTTATCTGATTGTGAACAAGTAAATATGATTTTATTATTGTTATTTTGTATTTTTATTTCGCGCCTCTTTTTTTTGCTACAGATAAATATTAATTTGATAATATTTTGCTTGCAAACTATTCAAGAGTAAATCACATTGATTACTTTACCAATACTTGAACTATCGCTATAACCATTATATATTTTTTCTAACCGGTGTTTACTTGACCATTATATTTTCAGTCAGTCAGTCAGCTCACTTCCGTTATACCAATGGGATCGAGAATATCTTTGATGTTTTCCAATTCTTCGTTCTTTGCTTTCAAATTGTCAGGAGTTAATCTCTTGTCAAAATTCATACTCGTTTATAGTGGATGGTGCTTTGATGCATATCTTGATGATCCTCATGAGCTATGATGGTTAAAACACTCGTTTTTTTAAGTCCTACTGTTCCATGCAGGTTAGTTGTACAGCGTTAAAACTGAAAGTAGCAACTTACGGTAACCCAACTGACTCCAACGAAATATAGGTCACTGGTTCAATCTTATACATTCTTAATCGTGTCTTATTGATCAACGGAATAATAAAAATTGAATACGAAATGCCTTTGAAACAATATATTTTCTGATAAAACCATGAGGTGGAAACATGTGCAATATGAATATTGGTCTGGGCCAAAGTTGTACACCTGACGCAACAGCAAGATGTTTTCCACGGACAACCAAGTATACTGCAGCCTTTATATGACGGGACAAGGCTAAAAAGGCCGACCTTGAAAATAACACCTCATCTTGTTCGAGATTTCCGTCGCCGGCGATGAGTCAATAATAGGACAGAGCTAACATATCTAGAATCTTCACAAAGCAAACTGTTTGTCAGTGGCCTCAAAAAATTGTTCTTTAAGCCATTCTTCCAAGTCGTTAGGACGACCCCCAACACTAATCATTTTAGGTGCTTCGAGTAATATCCGTTCACGGTTTATAGGTAGCTGAAATGATATCCGCCCACATATCTCTGACAGGGCTCGAAATCAGCTTATTCATGGTGCTCAAATTCATATTTTGACTAAATAATAAATGCACTGAATCATTTAGTAAACCCAACGATCATCATTAGAGATAGTTCCTATTTTCATTTGATTATTACCAATCAGTCTTGTTTATCTTCCTGTTACAATTGTTCTATATTATTCTATTTATACTTTTCACTTACAAATATATTTTCACCATGTTCTGTTTTGTCTTTTTTCTTCTTACAGATAACTGATGACCGAATAAATGATATCATTGGTGAGATTAGGAATTTACTGAACAATTTGGAACCATCTCCTGTCACTGATCATATAACAGTACATTTTAAGAATACTTTAAATTATATACGATATGAACAACAGACTACTACTGCTATTAGTGATTCAGCCAGCATCAGTGTTGATACTGATTCTGATGTTCAGTCATTAAGTAGCAAACTATTTGCATCTGTCCAATTATTCTGACAAAATAGTCCTGTTTACTATTATTAACATTCTTATTACATAATGTGTAATAATTTAGTTCAGAAAAATAATTGACATTTCTTTCTTTTGAAAAATACAACTATTGACTACTAGTCTCACAGGATCTTGTGTTTCTATATGTTTTGTGTGTGTATTTTCATTCCGAGTGATTTAACAGAGAGAAAACGATGCCAAACGGTGATCATTCAAATCATTTCGATTCATCTGCTTAATTTATTCGTTTATATATATATATATATATATATATATATATCACATAAATTCGTCTTCCTTTGGGGACCTGCATACGTTGTCTGTCATAGATATATATATGGTGTATACAGATAGACATAAATAACCCGTCATGTATGATTGGTGATTTATAGTTGTTCAAAACCTGCATTTTGATTTCTCTCAATGTCAACAATTATGTAACTTTCATTTATTATGACAAAGAAATTGTGTTGCTATGTTAAACTTTCTTGACAAATGTTGTCTTTCGTGTAGACATTTATATTGTACCACATTAAATGAATATTATTTCTATGCTTCCATCCTTTCCAAAGAATCATTTATGTGTGTCTATCTGTTTGTAAAACTAGTTTTATGACTGTTCACTCCTATTAAATATGTTGATCTTTACTTCACTAGTCATATAAAAAGATGATTTCATTTTTTCTTAATTTGATTTAACTACTTACGATTCGAATACATGTTAGTTTCTGAGTAGATTCATTTGATTTTTTTTTTCATTAAAAATAACTGGTCTAAGTATGTTATTACATTGGTCAATATTGTGTTACTGAACCGTTTCATATTTTTAAGTAATGTGCGTAGGGGTATATCTTACTCTGTTCCGATTTCCCCTTTGCAATGAATCTACAGTGTAAAATAATAGAAACAACGTTATGCTTCTTTAAGACACTGATATAATGAGGATTGATTCGGTTACCTGCTTGATATGATATAATTAGTCGATTAACTTTTATGGGAGCATTCAACTAACAAGTCAATTAAATCGGTTCGTTACGTTTAGAGACAAAAAATTAAATGTAAAGTTTTCTTCGGTGAGTTATTCGATACTCACATACTTGTAGGATTGAGGTTTGTCTTTGGACACTCAATTTAGCTTAGATATACTATTATCAACTTCATAGAATGGTATTATATCCTGTGGCAAATACTGAGAATCGTGCAACTTTTCTAGGACAATCTTATTTTTGAAGTGCACGCTTGATTAATGCACTAAATATGTTATTAAAATTCGCAATCAGTTGAATCATCGGTTAGAAAAATGAACCTGGCGATAATCAGTTGTGATATGGTGAGTAATAACTTAGTCAGGGTGCAAATGACATATGAAATTGATATATTTTCTTCAGTTTTATGTGACATATATTCACAACTTAAGAAGGAATATAGATGCTTAATTATATAATATGCCATATGTATGCTCACACCCAACCGTTGTTAGTACCTTGACGTGGATGTTGGGCTTGCGTATCGTGATGAACCAATCGAGCCATACTGGCTGGAACAACGGTTACTCTAGGTCCTACCATGCCAGGCAGGTCGGTTGAAGAGCGGTAAGACTAAAAGCAGCAAACTCAAGGTCCGAAGGCGAAGTCGTACTGCTAACGGTACAGAAGTGTGACGGCAGTAAGGTGTTTCCTTCAGACAACCAGCATAACAGCGATGCTACCTTCCCAAAAGGAGGGGTATGGTTAGAAAACGTCGACCCTAAAAATACACACCTCGCCTTATCCCACGGATGTCCGTCTCCAGCGGTAAGGTCTCAACAAGTATGTGACCGACCTCAAGCAGTTGTCCCTCGGGCACTGCGGTCACACTCTCAGGTCACTTAGACCAACCCTAACTTGATTTCCTCTTCAGGTACCTCTAGAAGAACCCTTCCACGGTGTGGGAGACCGGGAAGTGATAACCGCTCTCATACCTCCAACAGCACTCAAGACTGACGTTTTAATTCTATTTAGCGTATACACCAGTAACATTATTATGAATCATTGTTTATGTTAAAGGAGTAAACAGTTAATGATTTCACATATACAATATATATTTCCTATTATGCATAGATAAAACCCGGAGGAAATTAACAAATTACAACAAGTTTATGTCAATTTGTGTATGTTACATAAATCAGATGATTGATCTAGAAATAGGCATGAAAATATATCATTGAAAAAGTTCGAATGATAAAGACATGCTCTTTCACAATCTGGTGAAAAATTCACTTCACATACTACAGGATATATATCTTTTTGATTAGATAAATCATATCCATTTGAACGCCATTCCAATAGTATATCAACAGCATATAATGCTCGAGATTGGACATTATGAGTTAGACCACGTGGTGGCAGATATTTTGTGGCTGCTTGAAAAATTTCAACTAGAAGTTGATGTATTTTTAGCTATGTGAAAATTAATAATTAAAAAAGAAAATTAACATTTCATAAATTAAGTTGCTTAAAAATAATATTCAACATAGGCAAAGATAGATAGTGGCTAGCAATGGGATTCAGGACATGCGTTTTGTCCTATTTGGGACTCGTCAGATAGATGTGCCTGCATCTCTGAGTTGATGTACACTCGGGGACTCGAAGTCAGTACTGTTCGCTTTAAACGCCATCGCGTTATCCACTGAGTAAAGTCATTGCGTAAAGTTATATTCAGTTGATGTTGTTTACTTGTATCTTCCCATTGTTATTTGGGACTGCAATTAATCAGTCTCTTGTTCAACATTATTATTCAACATGTTTGAGACTGTAATATATAATTAAAATATTCATAATAAGTACAATTATCTATTAAGAGTTTCCTTAATTATTTGCTAATTATTCAACAACCTCCATAACCACATACTGATAATTATCATGTGCTGACTAGTGGCTAGTTTCGAGAGGACCTTTCAGAGTTCTAATGAGATGCTGTGACCAGTAGAGCTAATTCACGTCGAGTGTAAGGCAGTTAATCACCGAAGGAAATGGAAGATGGTAGTGCAATGTCTTGGATTGATTAAAATTATACATTAGCACCGTTAGATGAAGACTCAGTGGTCTAGTAGTCAAGCGTTCACACATGAGATCGAGAGTCCTAGATCCGAGTTCCGTGTGGGTGATCGTGGATGCAAACCGACAAGAAATTCTATACTATAAAGAGACGACAGTTCGGTGCCTGAATATTCGCAATGATAACTGAACTTGGATCGGTTCATGATTTCAATGAAATCCAACAGTCAAACTTATACACAGAATCATAGAATGTTTTTACTCCTAGTTTTCAGATTTTTAAATAATAATAATACGTATATTTTAAATGTCCATTGCTTTTAACTTGGACATTTCGAGACATGAATGACATCGTTAACACATAATTAGTATCACCACAATGAAATTCAATTAGTGAACATTTGTCAAATTAAAAAAAACACAGTAATGTTGACTGGAGCCCCCAAATGCCCTGGCATGGCCGAGAGTGGGGTGGGCCCGCCCTCCCTCTCGAAACGCTTTCACACGGCCACGCGTATACAGCCTCTCTCAGGGAAGTCCTACTCACTACCTTCTCGTCAAGGGGGTGTTTTTTACGAAAATGAGAGGACGAAAAGCAAATGTCCGGCGCTTTAACCGGATTCCAAACCAATGGTGCACGTGGGCTCCAGTATCCTGAGGAAACAAGACGAAGCATCTATCTGATGCTTATTAGTTTTCAGTGGTTTTCTAAACGAATATCAGTGAGTGATGTAAACTATGAAGTTCAACTATTTCCACAAATCTCTTACACTGATAATAATTTCAAAGTAATTGCTATTACTAAGTTACATCAGTTGAAGATTAATTGAAAATTAGAGAACAATGGGCAGTTTTGTAGCAATTAAAAAAGATGTAGGGGGATATTGAATCATAGGTCCCAAATAGTAGTATTATGACACTTTGGAATTATGTATTTGTAATATCCCAATTAGTAGAAAATTACATTTTCTGACGTTTCGTGACTTAGTATAAGTCACTTCTTCAGAGAATAAATATATTATTTATTTATAACAATCAACCCAATGCTCAATTTATTCGAAATTATCAAATCAAACCTTGGTAATGATACCTACACTCTAGAATTGTTTATCTTTGTTCATAAAGTTATGTGTTGCTTTTGTAGATTAGGTGATAGGTTATAGACAGCAATTAATAACCACAAAATGACAATGGTTTCATTTAATAGAAATACAAGTTACAAAACAGAATTACTAAGATACACAGTACTAATAGGAAAGTTTAAAATACCTCAATTGTTGACCATTTATGATCTGGATATTGTTTATCGAACAATTCAACGAATTCATCGCAATGTATCTAAAAAATTCAAGAATAAGATGGTTATTGTTATGATGACGATGCCGGATGTATTATTATACGCATTACTATCAACTGTTTAATGACTGAGTAGTGACCAAGATTACATCTCTCTGCCCAGCTAAAATAACTAAGATAAACATGACATTGGTCACGAAACACAGGTTAGACAGGAATTCCTGTTGACCATGCCTAACCACATAACATTTAGTATTGTTTCCAGTTTGAAATTTTGATTCAACAACACATCGCATCTATGCTGAAAACGAAGTACATAGATGTAGTTGGAGTTTAGTCAAATATACTGTATTGAAGAAGAAATTCAAACACATCTAACTTGTCAGTTTTGTAAAATGTATTTGGTTATAACCAATCTGTGTATTATTTACAATTTCATCAATAAAATATTTATTCACGAAATTGAGCGACACATCAACCATTGTTTTCAATAAGTTACTAACTCACAACAGACCTGGTTGAACTCCACTGGTCACTGTTTTTCACTAGAACTCCAGGCAGGATCGTGGATGCGCACTGCTGAGGAGTTCCACGAAACGGCCATACAGTGCTTCCAGGTTTTCCATAGTGATCTAGCTTCAATTGACTCATGATCTCAACCATTGAAATTACTAT